GTCAGCTCTCGATACTTCCTCTGCATCCTTCCCTGGTCCTCTCTTCCAGGATCCTGGTACTCCAACAGGACTGGTGCGGGCTGGTGCTTCGGCGCAGACCAAGACGAAAAAAGCCAAACTTTTGAAGTATCTCTCGGAAAGGGAGGAAGAAATTACACTGGGCGTAGGATATCTTCATGCAGGCTCTGCAGAATCGCATCAATCGGATGGCAAGCTGGTGCTAGTCAAGTTACTCAAGGTGATGATTGAAAACGACGGCAAGCTCTCTGGATCGTCAGTCATTTTATCACATCGGCGACATTATCTAATATTTTTCCTAGACCACAGATAGATGCCGCTGTCCGTGGGGCTCTGGTGCCACGATTGGAGACAACAGAGAATGGTGACCTTGACCCTTCAAATACGGTATTACCCAGTTATCCGTCTCTTGGAGACGTCCACGCAGCTTCCAATGAAGCACCTATATCTGTGTCGACTTTGCGGCCCTCTGCTCTGGATAAGATCCAAGAATTCTTACTTCGGGGAGAGCGTCGTCAAGCTTATCATTATGCTCTCGATGAGAAGCTATGGGCGCACGCCATGGTCATCGCCAGTGGAATCGATAAAGAGTCGTGGAAAGAAGTCGTCAATGAGTTTTTGAAGAATGAGCTAGGATCCAAAGAGCGTACAGAAGGATCGCAGCTTTTACGAGTCGCTGACGCTCCCGGTCTACAGGCTAATGGAAGGGAGCCACTTCGAGTTGCGTACAGTCTGCTCTCGGGACAAGGAGCCTCTGCCGGTAAGTTATATGTTTTATCACACAAAACCCCAAGTCATTCGGAATCCAGTGCAAGAGCTTGTTCCCCAGCGAATGCTTTCAGTGGGAATGGCGGCTGTTACCCCAATGACGCCAAACTTTGCTGGCTCGGCTACTGCAACGACGGTTCCAGTCGAGACCTTGTCGAAATGGACAGAGATGGTTGCAATGATGACTTCAGGAACACCAGGACCTGAAACATCGGCAGCCTTGACTGCTCTCGGTGACCAGCTAGCTGTTCATCAATGGATCGAGGCAGCACATGTCTGGTGAGCTAGCTTCGTGTTACAGCTGCAAGACGAGCTTCTGATATGAATTTCAGCTATCTTCTTTCCCCACAAACGTCTCTCATTGGCGGTATTGGACAGCCCAATGCTCGAATAATTCTGCTTGGATCTCCGAGTCCCCAAATACAGCTCAACTTTCATAAGAATGCCGACTCAATTATATTTTCAGAAATTCTCGAGTTTGCGCTGTCCTTGGCTGGGGTCAAGGGCCAGGAAGCTTTCGGCGGCTTCCCTCATCTCCAGGCATACCGCTTCATTCGAGCGATGTCCCTGGCAGAGATTGGAGATGTCGTGCTCGCTAATAGGTGTGTTGTATCTCGAAAATATTTCAAGTTTCTTAGTTTTCACAGATACTGTGACGCCATCACATCGTCTATTTCGCGGAATTCGGTGTACTTCAACCCCATTCTTTTGGACCAACTGAAGGGTCTCATGGATCGCATTGCTGGGGTACCTCATCTCGACAAGGGTGGCTCCTGGATGGGTGCTAAACTGGGCAAGCCTAGTCTGAACAATATCGGTGGCTGGCTTGAAGGTCGCTTTACGAAGCTGGTCACTGGAGACGGGGACAACTCGCCTTTGGTTGAGGAAGCAGAGCCTGTCAAGTCCTCTGAGAAAGCCTTCAGTGGGCCCTTTTCACATTATAGCACAATATCGTCAACGACGACTTCAACGAGCCCATCTCCTCAACCATCACTAATGAACACCAATCTGCTGCCGCCTGCTCGAGCCGGATCTGCTATGTCAAATCCTGTTTCTGTCCGTAACAATTATGCCCAGATAGATCGAGCATCTTCAGCCATGGACTATCGACGCCGGAATTCTCCAGCTCAATACGCTCCGTCGGCATCATCTGCCGGTGCCACGACAACAACTTTTGCCCAGTCACCTTCATTCGGTCAGGCGATGTCCACCACTAATGGCGATGCTGGGATAGAAGCCACGACCCCCCGGCCTGCTTTAGATGGACCAGACGAAGGACAAGAAGTTTCTTGGTGGGGCGCAGCGTATAATGGAAATACCCAGACACCGACTGCAGCGACTTTTGTCCAAGTCTCGGATTCTGGTTTACCCTCTGCCGACGGCTTTGTTTCGCTCATGGACAATACACCATTTGCGACAGCGCCGGCATCTCCTGCAAGACAGTCGAACTACTCGACTCCACAAGTCCATGATGACGATGAAGACCTTGGATTTGGGAATTCAAAGCCAAGAGACCGACGTCCCGACGAAGGAGATGAAAAACGAGCGTCCACTGAAGGTGATGCTCCCAAAGAAGCTGCTCCAGCGAGACCAGGTATGTCAGAAGCTGGCATGTAACAAGACTTGTTTGCTCACTTTTTGGTTCAGCCATTCAACCAGCGGCGAGCGGCTCGTGGATTTCACGACTCTGGAGAGGATCAGGGACATCTCCTGGACCGGTCAAGGCAAACCTTGGTGAAGAAAAGACCACGTTCTATTACGACAAGGATCTGAAACGATGGGTGAACAAGACCGTAAGTTTCCTTCGACTTCTTACTTGAGTGATTTATGAACAACTTTCTTCCAGGCTGGAGGAGACGATACACCGAAACCAGCGACTCCACCTCCGCCGCCTTCAAGAGCGCAAACGACGTCTCCTGGAATGAGTGGTCATCGACCATTATCAAGTTCAGGACCGCCTATAAGATCTTCGTCAGCGATTGACCTCAGTTCATCCCCACCTACGGCCAAGAATGTGATGAGAATTCGCTCGAATCTCGCGCCAACTCCAGAGTCAGAATCTGCTCCCAGTACACCGACAGGAACAAGACTGGCACCAGCTGGACCGCCGCCTGGACGGCCGAAATCTTCTGCTTCGAAGCGTAACATTCGAAGCAGATATGTAGATGTATTCCAAGAAGGCGGAGCATAGTAGTTGACTATTATATTTTGAGATAGAATTCACATTTTTTCTGGAAGTCATGTGTCCGAGGAGACCCTCAATCTCTACACAATGGCGGGACACTTTACAAAGCGATGTTATGTATGTCCGTTAGCTTCAATAAATTAGTGTGGTCGCTGAAAGCATTGCTGAAAGTACTATGACGACCGGGGAGAACCGGCAAATGGTTATGGCTGCCCAAGAGCTCAAGACGGCTCTTGTCATTTCGCTCATCCAGGAACCAAAGCTTGGGACCGCCTTGACCCAGTCACAATCCCAGTCTTTTTGCGTAAACGAAGTCCACCTCCAAGGTCTCATAGTCCTCGTCGGCGTCCGAGATCTCCCAGTCCACGTCGTCGACCAAGGTCTCCAAGTCCATCTCGCAGACCACCGCCAAAGTCTCTCAGTCCACTTCGCAAGCCAAGGTCTCCAAGTCCTCATCGTAGACCACCACCAGTAAAGTCTCCCAGTCCAAGTCTATCTCGTAGAATACAAGTGGACATTCCAGCTCGTCCACCACCACCCAGTCCAATGCAGGTCGACTCTGAACCAGTAACAAAATCGGCTTTCAGACCTCCGCCAGCGCCACCTTCTTTCGGGGAACCTCAGCTAGCATCAGAGAAAGCAAAAATATGGAGCAAAAGGGTCAGGTAGGTTCAATTCCTCTTTCTTGTGTTGGATTACTTTCATCGATTTCTTTCACAGCTTTCTGTCGGATTATATGAAGGCAGAGACTGAAGAGAGAAATATTAATCTTTCTTTGAAAACCTTCCAATCCACCCTCGCATCTGGTCAGCTCTCTGCTTCCAGTCAAAATCAATTCCAATCACGAGTCGACGCTTGCAAGATCCAACTGCAGGATGCAGCTCACGCCAAGAAGAAAGCTTTGACCGGTCTCATTGAAGATGACAAGTGGCCTGTCGTCGGTAGAGGTTCAAAGCAAGACGATGCCATGGCTGACCTTTTGGTCAAGCTTGGCGAGGCATCCATCCAGGTCAATGACCTAGTATCTCAGCTCGGAAATACCTCCACTGCTATTCCAGACGTCCAGGAAGGTCCCTCGTCGCGTCCGTTGAAGCGACGTCGCGCAGAAGAACCACCAAGCACTGCTGTAACCGAACATGAGGTCGAATCTCTTCACGACCAGCTTCAGTCGTTGTTAGGGACTCTGTCTACGTTGGAGAATGACATGGTCGCTCGAGAAGCAGATTTCACGACAGACATCCTTCGTGAAGTCGAAGATAAATTGGAAGAGGACCGGGAGGCGAGCTTGTCAGAGTCCATTGTGAGCCACTGGAACCAGCAGCTGGACCAGTATCAAGTGGATTTAACTGCTTTGGAGGGCGAAATCAATCAAGTAATGAAGGACGCGAAATCGTCTGAAACTGATGTCGATAAACTCAAGCCAGAACTCGAAATATCTTATCAGCGGAGTTTGGAGGTGAGTCGCGACAAAAACTCTTTAATTGTTGTACCAAAGTATTTTCAGACGCAGCAATTAGTCCGCGAGCTACTCGACCAAAGAGATCAAGATCTCAAACAGATTGATGCTCTCAATGCTGCTCTGGATGCATATAGGACGTCTGCCCAGCCTCAAACCCAGTCCGACGACTATGTCTTGTCTATGCTGGAGGAAACCATCGTGGACTCTGTGCGAGCCTCCATTCGACCCAGCATGGATGAATTGCGAGAAGGGATCCAGGAGATGTTGAACGTTCAACAGACGGATTATGATGCACTATGGAGCAAGCTTCACTTGACTTTCAAGACTGTTGCCGCTGTTGCTGCAAGTCATGGAGTGTCGGTACCTGCCGTGCTGTAGATTATCTAAACAATTTTCTAGCCTTGCTAGCCAGCAAATTACATTATCTGACGTTACAAGCAAGTGGTGAAAAAAAAGACACTGGAACTTAAGTTTTATTTTTTGTTTTTTCAAGTTGTCTTTCCAGGTGACGATCACGTGCAGAAATATGACTCGTAGTACTGCACTTACACTATGTAGTACAAAAAGAGATGCTCACACCGAGGATTGAACTCGGGACCCTTGCATAACTGCGAAGGAATAGGATAACCTCATAAGTACAATGCTCTACCACTGAGCTATGCGAGCACAACCGGAGCTCAAACTGCGCATATATCTAGTTATGCGACCCCTGCGCCACTCCCAAAAAAATCAATAGAAACTATCTTGGTTGTCTTCCAAAAATAGAAGATGATTCGCACAGGCAAAATGCACGGCGCTACGGTCGATTCTGATATCAAGTCGACAATTTTTTTACACTGGAGGAAGCCTCGGTGTCTCCAATCCCCCATTGCCATCGACTTGAAAGAATCGAGTTCCCACTCGACCAGCCTGCTCAACGGAATGTGTGATCCACAAAATAGCCTTCAAAGAAGTATCCGAGGCGGCCAAAGTTGCGAGTAGATACTGTTCCACCTGAATGAAATTCAAGACAAGACGGGTAAATTGAAATAGACAGCACTTGCCAGCAAGGACGACGATGGATCCAAAGCTGAGGTTGGCTCTGCAACCTGTGTCAGTAGTGAAATTGTCTGAGAAAATCAAGGTACCGTCGAGCAGCAAGATCTCTGCAGTATCGAGACCTACAGCGATGGCTAATGCGATTCTCTGACATTCTCCTCCGCTGAGGGTTGTCCAATCACGATCCCAAAGCGGGGATTCGATACCCCAGCTGACTGCAACTTCGATAGGATTTTGCAAGTCGATGTTTCGCCGACTTTGACGAGCAGAAAGACCTGATACGGCTAATAGGAAATCATGAGGGGTTCCAGGTAAGATCGAAGGTCGCTGCGGTACGTATGCGACCTTTGTGCGATATTGGGGTACCCCAAAGGACACTGGCGGCCTTACTTTTTGATAAGAAGCGAGAATGTTGACTGTTTTCCAAGCTTGCCTTCCATGAAAGAGGACAGTGCCCTGACAGACATTAAGATGCGCCAGACACTTTAGCAAAGTAGTTTTTCCTGATCCAGAGGTGCCCTGTATGCAGACAACGTCGCCTAAAGATATATCAGCGCAGTCAAGGCAATAAAAGCTTCAGGCTACCATCATTCACTGTTAGAGTCAGGCCAGAAAATATGGGAATACCACTATCTCGGACGCAGCTCAAGTCGCTGATGGAAAGCAGTGGCAAGTTCATTCTCCGCAGTCAGAAGAGTGAGGCGTCATGTTAGCGAGTTAAAATAAGTGACTGTATGCAATAAGCTATATGATTATGCTGGTGGAGGCATTGATTGCTGCTGGGCCATCATCTCTTCCTGTGTTAAACTAGAGCTCTCAATCATCACACCTACACCAACCTTGGCAGCATTCTACAGCTTCATCAGCAAAGCAAGTCTGAAAATAGCGATGAACGTACCTTCAAGTGGTCAATCTCACCAGCAATCATGAAGGTAAAAGCAGGTGTGAACCGCTGCTCTAACAAAGCCGAGACTTTCCAGTTGGAATCCAACTGAGCTCTAAAAGTCGCTAAACGCAGGTCGTATTTGGCGCCCAGAGTCGCAATCGCATCTCGTCGCGAAGGAGCAGCAATAATCTGCAAATCTGCCGCGACTTCCACCTTTTCGCTCAATCTCTGCCAATATGTCGTCTGTATAATGCTGGCCCCTTGGACCTGTGCAGTTGCAATGCAGCTTTTATCCGTGCTCGTATATTTAGCAAGATAGGATGTCGTGATATCGGACACATGTTGACGTTGGTAAAGCCATTCGGCCCCGAAAGCGAGATTTTTCGTGAAGGATTGCAGATAGTTGGCAACATAAATACCAGTGAGGTCGGTTGGGGAAGGGTTGATTGCCTTTGCGTTAAGGCTGAAATCTAGACCCTGGTAATCATGCTCGAGCTGTAGAAGATTGTGTCCTGGTTGCTGCGAGATCTATATGGCCTGGTTAATGACCGTTTTGCCTCGTCACCGTAATAAACTTACCTGTGCCTGAAACTTTGTACAGCTCGCTGGACTCCAGCCTTGAAGATTCATCCGTGCATTGACATTAGCGTCGTGGTCGATTCCTCCTTGAAGGAATACCTGGCAGGTTGGTCAGAAAAAAATAATGTAAAAAAGTCAATAGACTACTTTTTCATTGGCAAAAATGGCACCAAAGTTGTAAGATGGTGCCACGGCCTGTGAGCCCAGCGCAAAAGAGTGAGTGACCTGGAAAAGAGGATTGCCAGACATCGTCTTCGTCAGGTCAGCGCGACCCCCATCGAAGATGTAGTTGGTTAAATGGGTGCCTAAGAGACGAAATGAGCGACATGGCCGTTAGAGCTTGAGAAATGACTAACTTTTGACCTCTTTTTGAAGATTTTCGACTGTACCAGGGCTGGGAAGGCCCAAAGAGGCCCTCCATCCCGAGAAACGGTTATAGAGCTTGGAGAAAGGGCCAGCCGACGAGCTCGGTTGCACAAAATATGGGTCAGAGCCACTGCTCTCTGTGAATGTAGCTGCCATGAGCCAGCTACGCGTGCGGGTCGTAGGTTTGGTGATGTTTTCTTTCGGTGATTTTTTTCGCGTGACAGGCGTGACGAGTGCTAGCTGACCAAGATTTGTTTTCTGTTTCTATCGAGTCCATTTCACGTTTGTCCGACCACTCGCTCTCATGAACCTCAATCGACCTTCATCGTCAGTATATATTGATCACGGCGGCACAGCGTCACTATGAAAGATTGCCGTGCAATAAGCCGCATAACTGCGGTTTTTCCACATCGCTCAATATTTCCTGAGAGGATCCTGCACCGTATATGTTCGACCTCAGCTGGCTCTCTTTCTTATCTGAACATGAATCCAGGCCTCGACCTGTAGCAACAACCAACATTATTTTTGGAGCTGCGCGTTGTGGGACCGAGTGGATCACACACAAATTTCTGCCGATCATCGTCTAGGTCTAATTTTCATTTGAAACCGTTCGGCTGCGCAATCGCAACGTCATTCACGGTTGATTTAAAAAGAGGTTCTTTTTTCTCCAGCTCTGATCCTTATCTCTCCGTGAAAAAAGTTCCCTTCGCCATGAACGACCTTCGATCCAGGAGGTATATCACTTTTTTCGTGATTGTGTTAATCGTGAGTAGCCTTTTTTTATTCAGACGGTACCATGATCAGATCTAATATCTACCAGTTTGCTTTGCATTATCTATTTTCGCTCAACTTGGACACTCTGCAACGTGCAACTTCTGCACACATCCTTTCAACAAGTTCCAGTACGGGCCCAGTGTCCAATTCTCCCAGTTCAGCTTCTCTTGAGCTGCCACAATCTTTTCCACATTCGCCACAGCTTAATGGAACGCAGAGAGCAAATGCCACTTTTGTCTTACTCTGCCGAAACAGTGATATAGCGGGCGTTGTCTCGAGTATCCAGTCTGTGGAAGACCGCTTCAATCATAAATACAACTACCCTTGGGTATTGCTGAACGATGTATTCATTCATAGCACTTGCCCATGAGTATCACTCAACATTCACACTATAGGTGGAATTCACCGAACAGTTCAAACAGTGCGTCATGCGTAAGGATGAAGATCTTCCACTGATTGACCGCCTTCACTTTTCCAGACGGGTTAGGATCTTAACGAAGGCCTCTGTATCGTTTGGTCTTATTGCCCGGCAACACTGGTATCAGCCAACCTGGATCGATGAAGCCAAGGCCCGAGCTGGTCGTCTTAAAATGATGGATGAGGGAATTATATACGTTCGCGCTTTCCCTCTTGTTTTTTCGTGCTTCCATACTGAAACTGACCAGGGAGGAAGTGTCCCATATCGCAACATGTGCCGCTTCAACTCGGGTTTCTTCTTTCATCACCCGCTTCTACAACAGTATCGCTACTATTGGAGGTCAGCTTTCTCACTGATTATATCACATCTGGATCCACGCTGATTTCCATTCAGAGTCGAGTATGTCTATTTCCCGTCGTCCGCACCTTGTGCTGACCAGATAGACCCGATGTCAAGTTCTTCTGCGACATCAACTACGATCCTTTTGTTTACATGAACCAGCATGATAAGGTCAGTCTCTCGCACTCGCTGTTAGAAGATCAAGCAAGTTTATAAAACCAGGTCTATAGTAAATCAAGCTGTTACTGCTCATGAGTTATCGCTGACCAATATTTCAGGCTTCACCATCTCACTGTTGGAGTGGGGCCCAACTGTAGAAACCTTGTGGAGAACCGTCCGAGGTACGTAGTCAGTCCGACTCAGTCCATCGAAGCGATAACACTTGCTAATCGTCGACCTCAGAATTCATGGCTCTCCATTCACAATATATCAGCCCCAACAATGCAATGGACTTCTTGTCGGACGATGGGGGCCAAACATACAATCTATGCCACTGTATGTTCATATTCTGTTCGATTTTCTTGGTCCTGACCAGATTTTTCAGTCTGGAGCAATTTTGAGATTGCAGATATGGATTTCTGGCGCAGCGAAGCGTATACCGCCTTCTTCAACTATCTAGAATCCACGGGAGGATTCTACTATGAAAGATGGGGTAAGACATCTATCTATGAATACCTTGGGTTCTAACAAAACTTGCAGGCGACGCGCCAGTCCATGTTTGTACTCTTCCCACACGAGTTTCTCATTTCCTTACATCCTAGCAGTCAATCGCTACTGCCCTCTTTGCACGAAAAGATCAAATACACTTTTTCCGCGTAAGAAAGCTAGCTGCGTCATCTTCACCACAGCCTGACCTGTTTACTACTTATGTTAGGACATCGGATACAAACATGAATGGTTCCAACATTGCCCTACGGGTGAGCAATGGAAACAAGGTCGCTGCTCTTGTGACCAGAACGACAGCTTTGGTATGTACATGTCTGCTTCATTCATCCTCATGTTCTAACCTATCTTGCAGATTACACCTCAAATTCCTGCTTGAATAACTTTGAAAAGATGTTTCTCTAGGAATTAAAGCTACTATAGACATGTATTTCTCCATGTATTACCATATACTAGAGACAATTGAGCTGGCTCGCTTTAAATAACTTAGTGCACTATTGGTTCTTGACATCATGTTTGGACTTGACATATTTGTCACGTGACCCGCAGCAGGCGCTGTGCCCTGCATCTTTCCGAGTCCACTCGCCTCGGCGTCATCTTTCT